GTGTCAGGAATTGTGTCTAATAAACAGCCCTCTCAGGAACAAACTGGAGTGAACAGCTACTGCAGTGTAGTCCATATATACACTTTTAAACCACACGAGTGAGTCCAGAAAACCTCAGACACTCTTAGTCACAGATGTAAAAACACAGCAAACAAACAAACAAGGTGAGGCTGAGAATCTTTGCGAATGTAATAAAGGATGTTGAGGGGTCAATGACTCTTTATCTGCCCTCTCCTTTTGAGCAGCAATGTAGATCTCCATGATGTGCTTCCTTAAAGAGTAAACTTGTTTAACCGTTGATGGGGGTCTACGTAAGGCTTTGACAACAGCACAACTGTGTATCTCCTTCCAAAACGCACAGATACCAACTCTCTACTTCTCTTTTGTAAGTCTTGGGAATTGGTCAACGCTTTACTTTTTAAAAATGTAATTGCTTTGCGATTTACAGCAGAATAAAGGCTGCAGACTAATTAACTAAATAACACTGGGAGCACCTGTAACTGTTACTTTTATAAAACTGTCATTTCTGTCTATTCTGCTGTCAGACTGGTAATAGCCTGCGTCTAAAAGCTTTGGAACTTAGCCCTGTATGTGTCTGGGCACATTTCATGCTTTCTACTGCTATTACGCTTTAGGGAGCTTCATGTTGAGTTGGTTGTGTGGCTGAACTGACAAACAGTTTTCTGCAGCTGTTTAAAACCAGTATAAACTAAAATAGCCACACGTGTGGCGTATTATATATCTCGAGATGTGTGATGCATCATAGCAATCAATCTTTTTTAAGACGCAGGAATCAAATGTATGCCGTATGATGTAATCACTGCATTACAAAGAGCTTTCAGTTTCAGAGGACAGCTCAACTCAAGTCATGACATTCACGTCTCAGAATCACAAGTTGGTCCCCGAGGGCTTTACAATCTGCCCAGCATGCAACACCCTCTATCCTTAGACCTGTCCTTTCATCACCATGTGATCTCCACGTATAGTGTGTACCCAAGTGCACAGAGTCTCAGCCATTCTAACACACAGCAACAGCTAGAAAAGACTGAACTGTCAGAAAGCATAATCTCAGGGACACAACAAAAAGCCTGTCACCCTATACAGCCAGGACTTTCAATCCAATACTGTCTATTCTGTTGGCCTAGCCTACACAGAAGCCTGCTGTGCAGATCTACCTATGAGGTCGGTCCTTCCTCAGAATCCTCACCAGTCCTGTGGACCGGGCCCTCACTTCGTCATCACCTATGAGTGCTGGAAGAATCCCCCAGCCCAGCTCAATGAAGTGGCTTCACTTTCACAGCCAGTGCTCCATTTCAGAAATGCTCATGCTGCCATTCATAGTAGCTGCGTGCATTTTGATAAACAGCTAGTACGACTGAGGAGCTTGTTCAAGCTACACTGGAACTGGGCCACATCTGATGTACCGTGTAAAAAGACCTTTTTATAAATACCCCCAAGGGTACAGGACTACTAGTCCTGTACAGTTCACCGAGTGTTAATGTAAACATCCTGCAAGACCAACGTCAGCACTTAAACCTCGTAGTGAGCTCTATTTGAATCCTGTGTGCTGGAGTTGGGCCAGTGCATTTCCCTGTGCTGACAGTCTGACTGCATCGTAAATCAATTAGCCTTACTGCCCACTGTGTAACACCTGGACAGATCCAAAGCATCACTGCATGTGGATTTTGCTGTGTGGCATATTGCGTCATGCGTCATAATTCAAAAGAATGGAGCAATTTGCATGTACAATCAGAAGGGTGACAAAATATGAGCCGGGCACCTTTACAGTTCATGGCTGCTGGCAAGGACTGTAATATGGTGATATTTAACATGAACCCGTGTGACCTTTTGATCTGAAACTGCACTGTTAAAGTGAATGAATATACACATTTAGTTCACATGTGCGTTAGATGATTTCATTAATCTTTCCAGGGTCCTAAAGCTCCAGTATGCTCCAGACAGAACTGAACTTTGAATGTTCACAAAGGCTATCAAAAACTGCTATCAAACACAACGCTGCAAAGCAAACACCAGTAATCCCTGTGACCATGTGACTCAGTTTCACACCCAAGGTCACATAACAGTAAAACTATAACACTGCTCGTCTTGTTGGGAACATAAGTAAAACAAGAAGTAGCAGAGAGTTGCACACTCATAAGTCTGACTCAAGCTCTTCTTTAATAAATCTATAAATCAATGTTTCAGCACATGGTGACATCTTCTTTAGAATAAAGCTACACTTAATCCGACTGACTAAAGTCTGCAGGTGATTGAAATGAATGATCTCACAGCTCAGTCATCAGAAACGCAGAAGAAAAGTGTTAACAGAGGTCATTCGTAGCTAAGAGAGGTACCAAACATCTGTAAGCTTCCTCACAGAACTG